ATCCCCCCAAAAAAAAAAAAAAAAATCCCCCCCCCCCCCCCCCCCACACACACACACACACACACACACACACACACACACACATTCATTACTGTAAATGAGCTGTACTTAGCTGATCCCAATGACCACAAAAAATCCTCTAAACTACTTTGCCCTTCAAATACTGACAGCACAGGAACCATGTCTTGCAGAGAGCATACTGTAGCTTCTTCATTCTGACAGCCTCTCTCAACATTTCAATTGTTAGTTTTTATAATTGAAACATTAATATGAAATTTGATGCTTGTTTGTTCCGGGGGAATTGATAGAATTACAGGTAAACACAGCCTTATTTCATTCACATTCCCCTGAAGGGTTTGAACTGACTCAAACTTCAGCACAGATACCAGTGGGTTTTTGTTCCAACCACCTGACTGCTGACTCACTCGGCTTAATGGGGAAAAAAATAATACGGTAACACATAAACTCTCTCTTCACCTGAGAAACTGATAACAACTAATTTTGTTTTAATCCTGGATCATGTTACGCTGTTGTTTTAGAATTAATATTAAAGCAGATGTAGAATGCATTAAATCTACATGTGACAGAAAGACTGAAAGAAAAAGCAATGAGAAAATAACATGATAATCAAAGAAGCACAATCTTACTGTGGGATAATGAACATGAAGAATGCAGAAACTGCTGGAAGTTAATGTATAGATACTTAGACACATGGTGAAAGATTTCAGTTAATTTGTGTGGAAACTGTCTTTCCACCTAAAATCCAGCTTTTATAATCCTTATATATAAACTATTAATGTTTAATATTGCATCATGAAGAACCTCACCCACAGGTTCCAAATATTCATTGATAGAAGTTTCAAACAAACAGTTTTACACTTGACTACATTACTTGCACAAATTTAAGTTAGACTTTAGCAAACAATTGGTGAATGAACCAAAGAGTGTTTTCTTAAGCTGAACATTTTTTTCTGTTTCTCAGACATTTTTTGACTTTTTTTGAATTTTCTATCAAGTACGTTCACGTTCATCCCTACTCATTGAAGACTTACTGGAAACTATAATTGAAATATCCTCTGTGTCTATTAAACTGGAGAACCGAACCTGACAGCCATAACTATAATTTTATCAAATGTTGATCCTCTCGTCACGATTTGCAAATGTTACTTGAAATATCTAAAACAAGTTAGAAAGTTCAAGTTAGAAAATATAGCCTTTTCAATCTGAGCAGTAAAAGCATTGATTGTTGATAATTAGGCTTAATGTAGTGAAGTTTGTAGATGGTTTTTTTTGTTTTACCGACAAAACAAGTTTATAATGTTTGGAGCCTCAATGCTCAGTGCTCGACTTCAGTTACACAAGTGATGGTAAAACACTTAATGAATGCCTAAAAGAAAATTACACATTATTTCTTTTAAGTAAAGCTGGTAAAGGTAAATGATAGTGTAAATACACAATCTCAGTCTTTTGTCCTGAGACTCAGGGTTCGTCTTTATCTAGCTTCTGACAGTTTATTTTATTTTTTATTTTTTAATTATTTCAGGAGTCGGCACAACAAACATCTGAAGTCAGTTTTGAGTTAACATGTTACTATAGTCACTTTCAGCCATGGAAGACTTAACACAACTCATCATTCAGCATTGAAGTGGCAAAAAAGAGTAGAAGTTGATTTGAGTGCTGAATGTTGCAGTAATTGTGTAATTATTATTTCACTCTGTTATTTATAACGCTGCAGTTGCCATATGGCCAAAGTGCTTGAAAAGCATTTTTATTTTAAATGAACTGTTTTGTTTCAAACTCATGCAGTTAGTCATTATCTGTGCCTTATTCTGCAGTGTGAATTTGGCGTGTTGTCAGTGTGACATAGAATGTAGTGAAGAGCTTCGCTGTTACTTCCCTAAACCAAAGTTAATGCACTGGTCCCACTGCTGTATTTGACCAGTATATAGGCCATATGTTATTCTGTATATCAGCCATGTAAATTAATATGCAAAAAGAATATTTATTATTAATTATGACTGCTGTGATTAAAATGTGTTTTGAAATGAAACCAACGCAAGTTTTCTTAGATTTTCTAAAGCTGGAAGAAGAAACTACCATTTTTATTTCTAATAAGTCTTTGTAGCCTTGGTAATTATCAAGAATTATATGAAGTTGAAATAGTTGATTAAATTTAAATTGTTAACCCCAGGACTTGCATGTCCAATGAGTTTTCACAGTGGGAAAGTAGATTTTCCAACAAAATAATTGAATAATTTTTACAGCAAATTTTAGCTATTATCAGCTGACTGTTTTTTTTTTTTTTTATTGACATGGTTTTGGCTAACTTGGCCGTTTGTTACCAATATACCTCGTCTGACAACTTTAGATCAGTGTGACTCTGTAAAAAAGGTTAATTCCTCTTCTGAATCTTCAGCAGCCTTGGTCAGGATGAGTGACTAAATATATGTGGGGGGATGATCCTTTACATCCTTAACCCTCTGCTATTTTACATTTTATTAATACCATAGGGGGAAGTGACATTAGTTTGTCTTCTTAACTGCCTTTTAATGAATTATTTATCCCTGGTTTAATGATGTATACTGTGGCCCTGTAATGTGCCCTAATGACAGTGAACGAGGCGGCCTAGGCTGAAGTATTAATTTGTTGTGTCTCCCCGATGATTATTCCTCTGCCTCCAACACCACCACTTTCACGCCTCGCTTTCGCTGCTGCTGCTCTAAACACAGGCCTGGATACAGGCGTGATTCATGGAGGCTTTCCGCTCAGTGGTGTGACTTGATTTCTTGCTGTCACGCTTCCCGTTGAATGCGATACATCCAGGGGGGATTCACAGCAATTAGTTCTGCTTTTTATTTGTCTTTCAGGCACTTCCAGACATAGCTTGATGAATCTGCTGCGGGAATCCTGAATTATAAATCCAGTAATAAAATCTAACCAAGGATAAGAGCGCTATAACAGGTATCGCAGATAAAACCCTTTTGTTTGTGTCTTTGTCTAACTATCTTCACTCGACACTCGAGTCACATCTAAACATACAGTAATAAGAAGACATTTTTTAAAAGTATGTAAATTAAGAAAATTTTGGTGAAAAATTGGTGAAATTGTCAACAAAAATATGCACCAATCTTTAACCCAGATGTATAGTTTGTGCTAAAAATTTCAAAAAGCATTTTATTGTCTAATAGCAAAAATCACTGCATATAGTAGTGTCAAAAAACACCTCAAAGGGTTCAAATCCCTGTGCAATGACTTTAAACAAAATGTATGACTTCTGTCAGTGAATGATGAAGTTAAAAAAGGGCTAATTAGAGTTGGAATTCTTATTTATTGTGTTTACTAATTTATCCTGAATCCATATACTAGTTTAATTCAATATATAGAATTTGCACCTGGGACCTACTGCCTAGTGGATGGATGGATGTGATTGAAAATCTAAAATGTTATTAGGAAACTTCTCATATGTTCGCTATTTGTTTCTGTTTTTATTTATTTATTTATTATTAAATCATTTGTTTTAATTTGTATTTATTTGTACACACACAGATCTACAAATTCTTTCACGTTAATACTTAAATTTACGTCATTTCCTCTTCCTGGTTTCCGCACGTGTAGCAAGAGTTTTTAAATTATACCGGAAATGTGCGCTCTGGTTTTAGTCAAACGTTTCGTCGTCGTGTGTGTCTGTGTTTGTGTGTAAGTAGATGTCATGAGGGTAAAGATAACTTGACACAAACAAACTTTTAACGTTTAAACTACATAATAAAGCAGTTTTATGTGATGTTCAGCCATTTTATGGACGTTAGTGCGTTAGTTTTTTTCTCGATAACCTTTTTTGGCGGCACGTTAACCTGCTACCGTGTGTTTAGTGCTGCGGTCCAGCGTTTTCATATCTGTGGACACGTAATGCACAGCGGATGGCTCTTCTGGAAAAGGCAAACGTTTGAAAAACCTAAAGGTAAAACATAAGTCCCTATATATTAGAAGTGTAGCCAACATTGATGTGGTAACAGCTGTGGTCCAGGTGGAGAAGCTCCAATTGTTGAATTTCTGATTTTATTTAAAATATACTGTTGGATCTTCATAAACAAATTAACGGGTTAATTTAATGCAATGTCCACCCGAAGCTACAAATGGCAACACAACTCTGGTAGTCGAGCAGCAGAGTAATCCTCTGCTAGTTTTGACTTGCAATTGTGTTACAAACATAAGGCTAAATGCTCTATAGTGTGTGTGAAAATCATACTATAATCATGAAAATGGGACACGACTGAGGCCAGTAGAATTGATTTATTTTCATTCAGATTAAAAGGAAAGTAGTGTAACATGGATTTCTTCCTGAGGTTATTGGTGGTACCAGTTGTGTAGAGCAAACCAATGATTTGTAAAGCAAAGCTATGATCGCATTGAAGCCTTTTAATATTTACTTTCACCAATGTCTCCCCACACAGGTGACCAACGTGCGGTAGGTCGACTGTGACTGTATCCTTTGATGTTATTTAGCACGGTATGCTGCCATGTCTTTACCAGAGATGTCATAAGTTGATATCACTAATAATCAAAGATAAGAAGGCCCTAACATTTCCTGAGTAGCGTCAGAGAATGTAATCAAAGTGTAGGTGAACTTAAACAATAAACACAATAAACAAGGGAAGATTGGCATACTGTAACAATGTTATGCCATTAAAGGTTATGTTATCATGCAATGGCACAGTGTTGTGAAACCAATAAAAGCATAGTAAATGTACCAAGTAAATGTGTAATCATGACACAGTTGACTCTAGCGTACACTCATGAATTGCTGCCACGATACATGCTACATTCCCTAACTGGCTCTTCTCAGGGGACACCAAAAATGTTTTGACAGGATCAGCAAGACCGGTGGGTGAAAAGAAAATGCATGTGTTCATCAGTGCCTCAAAGGACAACACTGCCAAGGTGAGAACTCTTATGTGACGGTAGTTCTGTGCCATTTGAATCTAAATGATTGATGTGTAACAGTTGTTGAAAAATGTTAGTATCAAAATGACACGTTGCTGGCCATCGAGGAGAACACCCAGAGAAGAGTTTGAAGGCGAATAAAGAAAACAGTTGTTCTTGTATATACCCTTGTATTTGTCGTTGTTTATATATGTATAATTGTGAGGTAACACTCCAGTCATTTGTGCTTGAGACCCCCACTCCAAAGTAGAACAACACAAATAAGTGAATGAGAAATGATTTGAAGAGATTTATTGATAGTTTACTTGTTATAACAAGATACATAAAAAAAACAGGAGTAGGTGTGGTTACTTTCAGTGTCGTATTGTGTCCCATTTATTTACAAAGATATTTTCTTTTGGTCTAGGTGTGTTGGTCAATCTGTCCACACAACAGCGCTTGTAATGTGAATTTGACTTATATTCTTAAATAGACTTTTGAATAATTATGGTCCATTATGGTTTTGTTACTATGTATGTTACTTTTTAGTGTTGACAGATTCTAAAGCTGAGTGACTTGACTGTGTCTTTAAGCCTGGAAGAAAGATGACTGAATAAAGTTTGCTTAGTTTAAGGCTGCCAGTGTGAGGCTGTAGGTCACATATAGTGGAGTAAAAATTAAATTATTATTTATTGTTTATTTTGAAATTCAAGAGGTGGACTTAGTCCGTGGGTTAATAATGTGCAAATGACTGAGTGCCATGTGTTATCTTTGCAGCTCCTTGACGAGAGACCAGTGAACTCTGCCGCCATTTCTCCAATCATGGATCACGTAAGATGAAGTTGTGCAATGCATATCCTACTAGATCAACCGTGACCTTGAACCTTGCAATTGTGTGTGTTGTAGGTGGTTATGGGAGGTGGGCAGGAGGCTATGGAAGTGACCACAACCTCCACCAGGATTGACAAATTTGAGGCCAGGTGAGTTGAAGTGGTGTTTCCAGAGTATTATTGTGCAGTTGAATAAAGTGACTGTTATCTTCATCTAAACAAAAGAAAAAGATGAAGAAAATGTGCAGATGTCCCTAATTCCATTGTGGTGTTTGCATTAGCACTGGAGAAACCACAACTTTGTTACAAACAAAGGCCTTTATGTAGGGATTAAATATGTGTTTAAAGCATTGAAATTGTTTTACTGTTGATAGTGAGCAGGCATAGTGATGTGTGAACATGTAGTTGTAATGTTGGTGGTGCTGTTGAAGTGACTACTCTGTAGCTGCATGTCTGTGTCTGTGGTTATCAGTCATTTAATCCAAAAGTAGTTACATTGAGGGCAATTGGACGAAGTCAAGTTGCCCTTGATGTAACTACTTTTGGATACTGTGTAGCTGCTAAGGTAAACCTGTTTGTGTTAACGTGTGGTACAATGATGTGTTCTTCTAATCTGCAGGTTCTTCTATGCTGTGTAGTAGGAGGAGGAGTTTGGCAGAGTGAAAGGTCATTTTGTCCCATCAACTGTGTGGCTTTCCACACCAAGAGGTAAATGAGACCAACACAGCTTTTGATTGTGTTATTCCAGCTTATTCTTCCATTCATTGTGCTTCCTATGGTGTCATTAACAGACACAGCAGCTTGGACTCTGCCAGGTAGAGTGAAGGAGCAACTTTATTTGAAGCAGATCACTTGTTGGTTGCTGGACTTGTGAGTGTTTTACTGAGTTGTGTAATTGTAGTGACTAATTGTTTACCTTGAGCTGTATTTGACTTAAATCCCTGTTGTAAAGAAAGAGGGACTTGGGTTTTTTTTAGTTATGTAAAAATTATTCTCAATTTCTTTGTGAGCTGTCTTTGACTGTTGTAAACCTTCTAGAATAAGCCTCTTCTAAAGGTAAAAAAAAGAGAAAAAAAAAAACCTTTTTTGTGCCTTAATGCTGTTGGCAGGTAGTCACTTTTATTGTGAAGCTTCTTCTAAAGGTAAAGAAAGAAAACCTTTTTTAAATACTTAAAAAAACCTTAAATTTTTTTTTTATATATAGTTATGTGAAAGTTCATTGTGCCTTAATGGTATTGTCACTTTCATTGTGAGCTCTATTTGACTCTTCTAAACCTTCCAGAATAAAGAAACTGTGTGCACTCATTTCCAGATAAGTTTCTATTTTAGTTTTTTGTTTTTGGAAGTTTTTTAGTTAGTTTTTTTTAGTTAGTTTTGTAAAGAGTAAGCAGTAAGTTAAAAAAAACAACCACAATGAATGAAATAACAACTTTTGACTTTTAATAGCAAAACTTCACATTCACAAA